CTACAACGAATGACTCGTTTGGATTTGTGATATCACTAGGGATGGGTATCGAGTTCGATACTTTTTAGGCACCGACCGAATTGCCTCGATACCATCGAGTATTGAAAAACATCTTGTCGTTCGGTACCAAATTTCGATATTTAAGGGGTTAATCTCATCAACGTCCGTGGGCCAATAAGCCTGCAGCACTAGGTGTGCTCGACTAGAAGCGGTGCGGCGCAGATCAATATGTGTCTGACATCCGCGAGAGCGATTCGAAAGCGTACGGAGCAGTCTGCTCTCTATAGCTCGTGGTACTGTAATACACCGATCGGTCTGCACAGTCAGTCCGCGTCAAGTCGAACACACCTACTAGTTTACACAGGTTACACCAGATTCGGGTGGGAAGCGTGCAGTCTGTGATCGCGTGCCATTGCAGATGCTCGCGAAAGCATGCAATCGCTTTCTTATGTGCGCTGTTTTTACGATTTCACTTTCGCTTTCAAAATCGATCGCGTTCAAATCACCACCACCTTCGGTTGGTCATTTTGCATATTAATCAGTGTCAGTGGTTATTGGCCTGAATAAGCTGCAATGTGGACCAGACTTCATGCCAACTCTCTAAAGTCTGGCTTCAAAAGATTATAGAACAGATACAGTCTTGCCAAACTCAGATGACCTACTGTGATTTGTAATTAGTTAGATACATACATACATACATACATACATACATACATACATGCATGCATGCATGCATACACACACACACACACACAGAGTATATACTCTAGTCCATGCACACAAAATTCTCAAGTGGATGCATGAGTCCTGCAGGCTTACCCTGCTTTAGTCTTAGCCTAACAGGGTTCACCATTAATGCAATAAAGGTGTACACTTTAAAAAAAAAATAGACTGTAAATGCTACAGCAAAAACCTGTTTTTGGTTAAGTGTAAGTTATCTAACCATAAATTGTAAATGGTCACATTTATATGTAATTTGTAATTTTTAGATGTAATTTTATTGTAAAATGTTATAACATTTTGGGTTTTGAGGAGTGAAAAATATGAATGATTGTGTAATTTGTGGTGGAAAAACAGTAAAAGGACATTCCCAGAAGTCCCTAAATGATACATCACAGATTATTATATTTTATTTAAATAGAGTTCTTTTTTTTTAATCAGTAATGTACATTGGGGTGTTTTTCATTACATTTTTGCATTATTATTATTATTGTAGTTTTTATTGTATTATTGCACTTTTAAGGTAAAAATATTTAATCATTCAAACACACACACATAAATATATATATATATATATATATATATACACACACACACACATGTTATATAACTTCAATTACATTTTAAAGGGATAGTTTACCCAAAAATAAAAATCTGTCATTAATTAAAACAAATATTAAAAAAATAATAATAATTCCAAACCCGTAAGACCTTCGTTCATTTTCGGCACACAAATTAAGATATTTTTTAATTCAATTGGAGAGGTTTCTGATCCTGCATAGACAGCAACAGAACTACCACATTCAAAGCCCAGAAAGGTAGTAAGAACATCGTTAAAATAGTCCATGTGACATCAGTGGTTCAACCGTAATGTCATGAAGCTATGAAAATACTTTTTGTGCGCAAAGAAAATAAAAATAACAACAAAAAGTATTATCGTAGCTTCATAACATTTCGGCAGTTGCATTGCCGTCTATGCGAGGTCAGAAAGCTCTCGTATTTCATCAAAAATATCTTAATTTGTGTTCCGAAGATGAACGAAGGTCTAACGGGTTTCGAATGAAATAACTGTGAATGAGATGGAGTGTACATGTGATCTGTTTTGGCAGCAGGGTTGGCCTTCAACATATGATGTCGAAATACTCCCAGTTTGAAACCAGGCGAGGCATTTTGCTCAACCCTAACCCTTGTCAATCAGGAGAAAGCTCTCAATACTTGCATCTAAAACAATGGCACACGTAATTGTTTTTTTTTTGTTTTTTTTGGAGGGCATTTGATAAAGTTGGGCCACCACACATTGTGCAATATGTAGCGACTCATTTCAGCACATCTATTTTTCAGCTTACAGGAAGGAGATGAAGTCAGTTTGCGCTGCCTTCCCACTTCCCCAACACCAGCTGCACTGCTGATTGTAGAGCTCAGCTCACTCCAAAAAGAGCTGCTGCTTTTTTACTAATAGCGCTTTTCTAAAGTCTACATCAATTTTTCGTCCATTCACATTTACGTCTGAAAAAAAATAATAAAAAATAAATAAATAAATAAATAAATAGGTGAGCTATCCCTTTATTTGATGGTTATAAGTTGTAAGTTTTCCCATAATACCTGACACAATGTCACAACATTTTTTACAGTTAATTCTTAAATTGAACTGGATATTTTTGTATTTTGTATTTTACATTTTATATCAAACATTTTCAGTATATGCTCAGTGCACAAACCTCCTTCTTCCTGATGTTGAATAGGAGCTGGAGCTGCTCTGACTCCTCGTCTTTGAGAAATGAATGGGATCCTCTGTGTGTCTGCGCTACAGACACTGCTGGCCTTTCATCTGCCGCATCTGTTCTCAGTCTCTCGTGTGCCAGAGAGAGTACTGTTCCCTCTGACAGCACTGCATGGAAAGAGAGACTTAAGATCGGGCGAACGGCAGTAAACATTTTAATTGGTGTTGTATGCTGTTATTGGTAAACTTGTTGTCCATGAAGCCTAATTGAGGAATCGGTAAAACTGAGCCTTTATGAGAAGCTGAAACCTTAGTACTACTGAGTGCAAGTTATGCAGAGCTGTTCATATATATACCCAGAGTTCACTGTGTCAGCCTTTTGTGCCTGTGATTTTGGCCTTTGGATAGACTGTAGATAGTCAGAATGAATTGAAAAGCTGATTTTTAAGCCATTCATCAACCTTAAAATGCAATGGCATAATTACATTATGAGTGAATTTTCTCATATTCTTCTGAGAGCTATACATGATCATTTTCCTGTGTGTGTTTTATGATAAAGATGACAGGTGTGTTTTGTAGAGTAGATTATTTAGGACAGAATTTCTCACACTGAGGTTTTGTCAGAGGGTCCATGGAAAATTCCTGAATTGTGAACAAAAATATAGAGACCTATGACATCCGCAGTGTGGAAAACACATACATAATCACAAAATCTGTAGTCAGAAAAATTTAATTTACTGTGTAACACGGAATGTTGTGAAACTTGGATAAAACAAATCTAAAGTAAGGTCAAATTCACTCAAAAGTCAGTCACATGATATGGTCTAGTGTCTGTGATTGTCAAATACACATAGAAACTCAAAGGTCTTCACTACAAAACAAAAAAAGACTTCAGTTTTGAAGATATTGACAAAAATATATTCTTTTTTTTTCTTCTTTTTTATAGTATGTATTTCTTAAAATACTACTACTACTAATTTATTTATTTATTTATTTATTTATTTAAATGCAGTATTTTCTTTAAAAGGAATTAGCTTTTTTATTTGGTTACATTTTAAGATAAATTGTTGTAGTTGTATGAATTTGTTTGATTACCATAATTTTTAAATTAAAATTGAATCCAAAAATTTTTTATGGAAGAGACAGAATTTAGGGAAAAAAAATAAACAGTTTACATAAAGCCCTAAAAATACTGAAAACCACAGCAAGTGATTAGAACCAAATCAGCAACTATGTAAAAAAAACAATTGACAATAAATATACATTTATGAAAGCCACAAATTCTGTTCAGACTTTTAGTGATGCATCAGAAACTTTCTTGTTATTTGTTGGTTTTGGGGTTATGAAATGGGTCCTTGATTTAAAAAAAACAAAAAAAAAAAGTTTGAAAACCTATTTATGTCATACGATGTTGCTAAAAAGAACATTATTTGGTGTATTTGGTGTAATGAAATGTGTCTATGCGGTTTAAGGTTCAAAAAACTTTTGGAAAAAAAATTTCCACATACTGTACATTATTGTTTCTCCTCTATGCCCCGCCTTTCTGAAACGCGTCGAACGCGTCGAATAAAAGTTACGCCTTCTTCTTTGCGTGAACATTTGGGCGGCGTTATGCAAATCTTCCCACATCGTGACGTAGACATGTGGGGGCGTGTTAGAACGAGCCGTTTTAGATAGGCGTGGTTGACTCTTAACTTTTATAAAGAATATCTCTTTGGATTTGAGACTTTAGTCTTTGCAACTTTACAGATCTTCTTTATGCACCAAGAGCTTGTAACACTCCAAAGAGAAAGGAAAAATTGAAATCGCATCATATGACCCCTTTAAATATAAGTTGTACATTGAGAATAGAAAACCTGTATGATACATATTTCTGGCAGATTTTTTATGTATTCTTTTTGGGCTGATATTACAACGTTTTTCAGTAGAAATGTGGCAAGAAATGGTTGCAGAGGCTGAAACTTTCACAGCAGTTTGTATTGAGCCTAAATGATTTTATCACACTGTAGGACTTCCTATTACTGTGGTGTACCTTTAATGTGTAGTAAAAGTAGGCAAATTGAGATGCAGCATATGATTTTTGTTCCCTATTTGTCTGAGAAATAATGGCTTCCTGCTGTTTTATGCACCATTAGGGGTATTTTTCTCTTTTAATGCTGTCTCTTTAAGGGTCAAGTGTTTAACTACTTCACAAGCTCCTTTAAAACACACAGAGTTGTCGAAAAACCCCTTCAGTGTCCGGCATTAAAACTGCACGCCGCTCTCAACATCACCACACTAATTTCACAGTAACAGAATGTTTACGGTCTTATTAAAAACAGTTGTGTCGCTTAATCTTTTTGTGTAAACCGTGATATTTTTTTCAGGATTCTTTTAGGAAGCATTTATATGAAGTAGAAATCTTTTGTGGAATATTAAATGTGACTGACTTTAATGGCACTAATACATTTAGTGTGTTCTTTTTAAATAAAAGTGTTCTTTTAAAAAAAACAAAAAAAAACAAATCTTACTCAGCCCAACCTTTCAATCTTGTTTTTGTCTTTTCTTGCATCTTCATTAGACGGTAGACATCCATAAGGAGAAGGTCGCCCGACGAGAGATTGGCATCCTGACAACGAATAAGAACACATCAAGGACTCATAAGATCATCGCTCCGGCCAACATTGAGCGGCCGGTGAGGTACATCAGGAAGCCCATCAACTACACAGTACTGGATGATGTGGGGCATGGAGTGAAGGTAAATAAGTGGCCATCTTTTCAAACTATATTCACTGCTTCCAAACCTTCAAACAGGACTGTGAACCCTGGAAAGGATGGCTTGTTTCTCTGTATTTTCAAGTGTGACCATATATCTGAGTCAGAGTATATGCCATATTTAGTTTGATTTTAATGTGAACAAGCCTGTGAGTGTACAGTCCGTTCAATATGTCAGACTGTGGTGTAACTGGTGTTGATTGCTTATTGTTTATCGAAATAATACCTATTTCTGTTGGGTGAGTAATTCTTTTCTATACGGCAAAAGTGAACAGAGGGACTACATGGCTCCAAAACTACTTAAAAGTAGTCCAAATGACAGAGAGGGCATAAAATGGAAAAATTATTCTAAATGCATGTTATTGATCTCACTGTGAATGATTCTCATTGTAAAATTAGTCAAAACGTCATTGTCAGTCTTGCGGTCAAAAATATTTTGGTAAAATATCAGACTTCTTTTCTGTGACACTTCTTTAATCATAGGGTGCTTAAACCCCGCCCCTTTATTATAATTGACTGCAAACTCATGTTTAGATCTGTCTCCATCCAATCAGCAACCGATGTTCAGAATTAAGTATCTGCTTTACATTTTTTTCTTTCTCAATATTTTCGCTCAGATGTTTCACATAATATGGAAGAAAAGATTTGTCACTACTTCTGTTTAATCACGACTTTAAGGCAGTGCGCTAGGGCTAGTTTTGTGTCAGGACTTAAAAATCTGAATATTAATGTACTATATTATGTAAAAAAAATGTTAATTTAGCCATATCTTTCCTGGTTGCAAGTGAAGAATTTTTTTCTTTCACCTTGTGTAATTTTATTAATGGTTTTCCAGGATGAGGGCTAATAATCGACCTAATTTGCAAAGCTTTTACCAAATAACATATGAATTTGTGTCAATTTAGCATAGTTTTTTTTTTCTTTTGGGGGGGGGGGGGGGGGGGGCATTTTTTTAGACATTTTTCTAAAATAGATATTTATCTCACCTAAATGTTTGATCATGCACTGTATTTTTGTTTTTACAATCGTGTAATTGTTGCACAATAGCTTACACACAACACAAGCCTGATTTTGTGAGTGTGTTGTGGATTCATTAAGTCATCTGTTAGCTCTGTGTGATCAGTTTTGTCTTTAAAATAGAGTATGAAGGTTAATAGTAATAAACTGAATGGCACAAGATTATGCCCCTCTCTGCTCTAGTTTATAGAGGGAGGCAGTGAAATAAGACTGGAGTTTTAAACAACCTCCATTTAAAAAAATAATAATAACAATCCAGTAATGCAGTTCACATTCCAGCCCTTACAGCGTGTTGACAGCATGCATCGGATGTGCTGAAATGTAAAAACACTTGACCTAGTGACAGCATCACCCTCCCTCTGTGGTTAATCTGGCAGGATTGTGAGTGTCATGGGCGTTCATGAGGGATTACGGCTGAAATTACGCTTGTGACCCAACAGCCAGTCTATTACGTGCATTTATAAGATGAGCCTCACGCATAATCAATATTAATGTACGTGTTGTTTACATTCATTCATACATTACAGCTAACATTACTGCCTCTTATGCTCACCATAGCTGCATTTATTTGATCAAAAATATAGTAAAAATAATTTTAAATAACTCTTTTCTATTGGAATATATTTTAAAATGCTATTTATTCCTGTGATGACAAAGCTGAATTTTCAGCAACCATTACTCCAGTCGTCAGCATCTAATATGCTGATTTGCTGCTTAATATTTGTGTGGAAATTGTGATAGAATTTGTATTTTTCTAGATTAATTCATGAACAAAGTTATTTATAAAGAAATATTTTGTATCATCATAAATTACTTTACTGTCATTTTGATCAATTTAATGCATCTGCTCAATAAAATTAATATCTTTAAAAAAAATCTGACTCCAAAATGTATAAATAAAAAATAAATACATTTAAGACTATTCAACACTTATACTATTTCACTGGATATTTGTTGCTTAAAGGGGTCATTTACACAATTTAACATTTATTAATTTATTCTTAACTTTTATATATTTATTCTTAAATATAACATGTATTCTTGTTCCAGACTTTTATGCATTTCTTCTGCAGAACACAAAATAAGAAAATTATTTAGTTAGTTAGTGAAAAGGTACTGTACTATGGAGCCAGATCAGCCTCAATAATAATACATTTACAGAACAAAATTCATAAATGCACAGCACAATTTACATTTACAAAATCCGATTCGTAAATTCAAAACACAATTCATAAATACACAAGTAAAAGCATAAATATTTCCCCAAATGCTCACACAGATGCATCTTACCTAAATAAATTTAAAATGTGTATACAAATATGTATATATCAAGTTCTTGAATTAATTTCCATCACACATTTATGAATGATGTTACATGTATTTATGGATCGTTGAATCTGCATTTGCAAATCGTCACACGTGCGTGGACTGCTTTGAATTTGTGTGCGGTATTTTTGAGACCTTCCTGACAGGTTAATATTCATACATATCTTTATTTTTGGAGGATGTTCCGTTCAGCAAATTGTGGGGAGCTTTTAATCCACCAATCAAAACGCTGAACACATTTTCATTTACTGAACAGACTCAAGAAGCTTAACGTTGCGCTTGTACTGTGCATTGTTCCATGATCGTGTCCTTGATGTAAAGACATTTTAATGGGTACTCTTTTTTTTTTTTTTGCACCTGATTACAATTTCTACAAAATCACATTATGATTTATATCGTTTGCACAAAATACAGCTTCCCGGTTAGCCTGCTGTCTTATACACCAAAGTTGCACATACCCTGTTTATTCTGAATAATCTGTAATGTTATTAAATAAGTGTTAAATGTCCAGATATTTCAATCAATAACAACAATTATGTAATGTGTTCTGTTGTTGATCCATAAATACATGTAACATAATTCATAAATGTGTGATGGAAATTAATTCAAGAACTTGATATATACATATTTGTGTAAACATTTTAAATTTATTTAGGTAAGGTGCATTTGTGTGAGCATTTGGGGAAATATTTATGCTTTTACTTGTGTATTTATGAATCGTGTTTGAATTTACGAATAAGATTTTGTAAATGTAAATTGTGCTGTGCATTTATGAATTTTGTTTTGTAAATGTATTATTTTTGAGGCTGATTTTGTACCTTTTTTTTCTGAGAGTGTACAGTGCGTACTTTTGTCATGGAATATCCTGGCTGTGTTTTATTACACCTTTTCACTGTTGCTGTCGTTCAGTAAGAGAAGCCATAACCTTGAGTCACCTGACAGGGAATTACAGCATCTTCAGCCAAATTTACTGTGTTTGCAAAAGATTAGATTTATTTTCAATGTCAGTTGACACTTAATCTAGTCAGCTGCCGCAGGAATGCAGAGGAGTTCTCAGATGCTGTTTTCAAAAGGTTTTTTAACTAATTTATTTTACATAATTTCCCTGTTCAGGAAAGAATATTAGGATCATATCAGGAGGGGTGAACGCAGGGAAAACTTTACAGTAGATGGGAAACCGATTGCTCCCTCGTGACATTTTGTAAACTGTATTTATGACAAAGAACTGCACAGATACAGATATTATAACAATCTATCGATCACGAATTTGTGTACAGTTTATGGAGCTAATCGCTATAGCCCCACTAAAAATGGCCTAGCGACGCTCATGCTTCTTACGTCCATTTCAGAGAACCAGGACAAATATTTCAATCGATCGCTCAGACATTTAAGTGGCACCGAAATCTGCGTTCTGATTCGTTCTAGTACATACCGGTTACATAGGGCATATTGGCACCGGGTTTCGGTACCCAACCCTAATATATTATTAACTAAGTAACAATCTATCTATCAATTTATCAGTCTGTCTTTATTAAGTTTCTTTGTTTGTGTTTGTTTATTACTTGGTTATCTGTATTTGCTTTTATAGTCACAGTATAGCCTGCCCTCAAGTGCTTTATAGCTGAAATACTCAATTGTTAACTCTCTGGTTTACACTGTATAGTTTCTGTTTTCTGCCTACTTAAGTTATGAGCATTGTCCCGGTTACTTTTGCCCTCATTACTCATACGGATCAGTGCATTAATAATGCCACACTTTGCATGTGGTGCAGAACAGCCACTGCACACGCAGCCATTGTTATGATAAGAGACCTTTGTCTCTGCAGTTTGTGGACTAAGTTGTCTTCATAGAGTAGATTGTATTTTTCTTGCCATGTATCCTTTATGCAGCAGACAAAGGCAAATGCTTTTGTGTGCACTAAAAGTTTCTGTGGTAAATCCAATGGGACAAATATTTCAAAACTAATTTTAGTTTCCTAATAATCACACTGAATACACAAACGAACTGCAGGTCAGGCCCAAATAGCACAGTCTGAAAAGAGACCTGTGGGACAGAGAGGTGAAATGAATGTCTGCTTCAGAACACTCAGTCAAAGCAAGTGTGAAAACAGCCATATTGTCAGGAAAAGCATTTTAACGTCAGCACCCTCAGCTCTAGTGAAGTGAAATGTAGGTTTAGAGATTTGAAGTGCTTTTGTCCTGCTTCAAGAGCTCTGAACTGAGACATGCCGGTTTTTGACATGCCTCTCTCTCTTTCTCTCCCTCTTTTTGTCTTTCTCTCTTGTTCTATAAATCACTTTCTCTTTTTTCCTCTGCCCACGCTAGTGGCTTAAAGCCAAGGTAAGTGTACTTGTCCCATGACCCCTCCTGCTTTAGTCTATTACTGATCAACTGATTCAGTCTTCCCTTGTGACCCTGATACATATTCATATTCCTGCATTCATCCCTCCCTCATAACCTCATCATGTGCAGTAGTTGTAGATCAATCCCATTGCAAAGTGATCTGTAATAGCTGTATTATTGAAAGATTACACATTTTAACACTAAATCAAGAACATAGGCAACTGAACACACCCAGTTGCCTATGTAATTGAATTTTGGCTTGCCAGACAAATTTAGCTTTAGTCATCAGTTCTGTTGTTTTGTTTGCACTTTATTTTTAGGGTTAATGTCTGGTTTTTGTATACAGTGGGTACGGAAAGTATTCAGACCCCCTTCAATTTTTCACTCTTTGTTATATTGCAGCCATT